AAAAAAAATACATACATATATATTACACGTGACCAGCAGAATCCCAGGAGTGTGCTCTCTCAGTCACTACCACCCAATAGGAACTGCAATCCTGACTCCTACGACCATTTTACCTGTTTCTGAACAAGATTATATAATATTATGTTTCTAAGATTCATTCATGTTGTTGTGTGTAGCTGAAATCTGTTTATTCTCACTGCTGCAGAGTATTACTTTGCATAACTATGTTATATCTTACCTATTCATTCTACTCTTTCATGATTAGTATACATTTGTTTATCCTCTTTTGTGAAGTGATTGTTCCGTTCTGCAGATTTTTATTCGATTATTTGCTTTTTCTATAAGTTTTAATTATTTTTGTTATTTTATATTTATCATTACATTATATATAGATTATTTTATAATTTACTAATTTTTCTTCACCAATTTTTTTGGTTTATCAATTTATCTTCTCAGATATAGCTATAACAAATATATTTTATCAGTCTGTGATTTACCTTTTGTCTGTCTTAATGGAATGTTTATTCATCTGTTTTTTTCTCTATGATGGTATTTATTTTCCTGTTTAAGAAAACTTTACCTGACTCATATTTACTGATATTTTTCTATGTTTTCTTAGAATTTTGTATTATTTAAAATTTCACATTTACACCTATGTTCCAAAAAAAATAGACTATTGTTTGTTAGATAGGTAGGGGTAAGACTTTCTTTTCATAAGGCAATTAGGCCGTTTATTCTTTGCTGCACTACAGTGGTACACTTGTCACAAATCTAGTGAATGTATACGTGTAGGTTGGATTCTGGACTTTCTACTCATTTCCACTGGTCTATCTTTCTACCCTAGCACCAGTAAAGAGTCATTTTACATATTGAGCTCTATTATTAATTTTGAAAAGTGGTATTATAATTTGTGAAGCCTAGTTCTAAAACATTGTTAAATATTTATCCTTTAATTTTCCATATACATTTTAATATCAGCTTTTAAGTTTACATGTATACACACATGCATATAAACACAAAATTTGATAAGAATTTTCTTAGAATTGCATGAACATCTTTGTAATAGTGAGTGTTCCAATTTATGACCAAGGTATGCCCCCCTCTATTGATTTACATCTTTAATTTGCTTCAACAATATTATGTAGCCTTCTGGGTAGTATTATCAGACACCTCCTTGCTAGATTCATTTCGTGGATTTGATGTTTCAAAATTATAATGTAAGAGATATCTTTTAAATTTTATTTCTAATTGATTGCTGTTGGTATATAATGATATTTCAGTTTTCTAGCTATCTCAACCTTGAACAATACCACAGAGTTTAACAGTTATATAATCTTTTTCACACTGAAATATACCATAGAGCTATTTGTCCCCATAAATAGTCATTTTTAAATTACCCTGATTAGTTATTTTATTAAATTATAAAATAAAATTACATTAGGAGTTTAGTTACAATTGCAATAAGACTTTTAATTTATTTGGTTAGAACTTGACATTTTCTCATAATTGGGTCATATTCAAATTTTTGACATATCCTTCTATTTATTCATTTTTAAAATGTATTTTAATCACATTTGGTACTCTCTTCATAGAAACTTCCTACTTTCTATGTATGTATTCTTAGTTGCATTTTGGGTATAATTTTCTAATGAATGAGGTTTTCTCTTATATTTTCTAAGTAGATAGTCACGATTTCGTGAAAAACCAAACTATGGGTTAGTAGATGGGGGTTTATAAAGGCCATTAACTATATTTATTGATTCTGCCCTATCAGATATTGGGGAAATTTTACATTATACTGATATATGGCCAAGTGTTATAATTTTTCCATAAAATTCTATCTATAAAAATTCAAATTTTTAAGAAACAGATGAAGGAAAAATCGTGAAAATGTTTGCCTGACAATTTAAAGTACTTCTGCATTTTACATCTAACATCTATCTCTATGACCATCTTTCCACAATTTCAGACTCACAAATCAAAATGATTTCCAGATACTTACACTTGTATTGTGCCATACACAATCCCAATCAAACATAGTGACATTTACCCTCCAACCTTCCTTTTTTTCACCTACACATTTTTCATTTAATGTCTGGTACCATCATCAAACTAGTTTTTCAAACCTTAACTCATCCAAATACCACTAAAATGACATATTTAAAAAGAAAGTCTGATCATAGGGCTTCTTTAGTGGACATCTATAGTCCTCAGCTGAGTCCAAATGCCTTAAAATGATTCATTATCTGGCATGATAGTTCCTTAGCCTCAATGTTTTCTCCTGATGGCCTGTCACATAAAAACACGTATTGCATGTAAACACACACACACACACACACACACACACACACACTTAGGCAGACACAAGCACACAGGGTCAGATCATGCACTTTCTCTAAGCTTCAGCCACACAAAAGTGTCACTCTGTGAACCCACCACCATCTTATCTGTGCCCCAAAATATTAATAACAGCAATTTTAACATTAGATCTACTATTTGTGATTGTTACTATTTGATTGATTTATCGAGCATATTTGAACATTTACTAAATGTCAGTTAAATTTAAGTCAGATTAAACTGTAAAAAATGAGAGGAGGTTAATATTCTGAACTTGCATACAGAAAGTCAGATTTTAAATTCCAGCTGTGGGACTTTAGGAAAGCCACTTTGCCCCTTAGAACTCTGAGTTCCTCATTTCTTCCTTGGAAACACACAAGAATTATTTTTAAAAAGTAGAATTCAATAGAGGATGTACAAATATTCAACCTCCCTAGTAATCAAATAAATGGAGTTCAAAACAATATTAAGAAGATAGTTTTCATTTATCATATTGGGAGAGATTTCTTACAACCATAACACTGAAGTTAGCACAGGTGTGTGAGAGGACAGGCTCATGTACTGCATAGCCTCATGAACGGGATCGTCTTTCTGGAAAATAGTTTTAGAGACGAAGTGGGAATTTTAAAAGTATTATATGCTAATAGAGATTTCTAAACAAAATAATCCACTGCCGTAATATTTACAACAAGGAGTAAGAATGAGAGCAATCTAAATAACAGCAATTATTACATAAATCATAGTTCATCCATAGAATAAACTATTATACAGCTATTTAAAAGATGTATTTAATAGTTGTTTAATATCATGAAAAAAACTATTATGTCATGTTGGGAATAAGATCAAAACTCACAATTATTTAGTAAGAAGGAAAAAATTCAGTAATATATTAATAGCTATATTTCTATGTATCGAAACAATGTTAGGGTCTCAATCTCCTTTTGTACGTTGTGTATTTTTCAAATTACAACAAATGTGTTACAGACAGTGCTAAATAGAGAAGACATCATTGCTCTTAAGGCATTGGAACTTTTGGTTAAATGGAGCTTTGTTAAATATGGCGTAGGAAACAAAATCATAGTTTAGAGCATATCCAAGGACACAAGTTGAAAAATAGAACCTTCCTCATAAACATAAGTGTGCAATGATTAACTCAACTTTATCCCAGGACTCAAAGATTTTCTGCAAATAGTGCTCAGAAGCAAGTGAACTACACATGGTTTAAAAAAAAATAGCCAAGAATACAAGTGAAAAAGGCACTGAAGCATGAGCTAGAAGAATAAGAAGCAGAAGCAAATGACAAAGACTACAGATATTTAAATTATCAGGTGCAGATTATAACTATTCACACAGTTTAAGAGATAAAAGATAAGCTTTAAGTATCTGTGTCAAACAAAAAATCATAAAATGACCTAGCAGATTTGGATGAAAAGCAAATAAAACTTTAGGAAATGAAAAATTACACTTGCATACATTTGTAATGCAATATATACTTGCCGCATATATATGTAGACTTGCCAGTTTATATGTGCAAATACTTGAAATAGACAAAATTATTTGCACATATACATAAATGTAATACATATATATAGTTACCAGTTAGAAACAAGAATATAAGAACTATTTTGACATATGAATTGGTAATTATCTCTTTGTCCTGTGTTTTAATCTTCTCTTCTTTAGGAAGATGACTTAGATATATGGTAGACCTGACTCTTGCCTGCAAATCTCTTAATCTCTCTTTCACGTTATTTTACCGTTTATTAATTCTCTGTTCTGCACCATGTAATCCACTGTTAAAAATTATCCATTTAATTTTTAATTCCTGGTAAAAATTGGGGGTAAATTAAATGATTAAATAATTAAGTAACATCTCAAGGTGTTTTCTGGGTAAGCAAGATAATACACCATGGAAAGAAATCCTTCCCAATAAATAGAGCTGCATTCCCACTGCTTGTGACAGATGTACTTGTGTTCCCAATAATTCACTACATCTATTCATTTTTTGTTGTTTGTTATTTTTTTCTTTTGAGACAGAGCCTTGCTCTGTCGCCCAGGCTGGAGTGCAGTGGCACCATCTCAGCTCGCTGCAAACTCCACCTCCCGGGTTCACACCATTCTCCTGCCTCAGTCTCCCGAGTAGCTGGGACTATAGGCACCTGCCACCATGTCTGGCTAGTTTTTTTTGTATTTTTAGTAGAGACGGGGTTTCACCATGTTAGCCAGGATGGTCTCGATCTCCTGACCTCGTGATCCGCCCGCCTCGGCCTCCCAAAGTGCTGGGATTACAGGCGTAAGCCACCGCACCCAGTCTATTCTTGAGAGAATTAGACTTGTCATCCCACTGACATCAGACTTGGCCATGTGACTTGCTTTGTTCAAAGGAATGTGAGTGGTGTTAACATGTATCACCCTCCTGTGGAAGCTACAAGAGCCATTGAGTGATCTCACTAATGTACTTTTCCCTCTATTACTAGCTAAATTACTACGTGAGTGAGAAAACAACCTTCTTATTTTGAGTCACTAAGATTTGGACGTTGCGTGTTAAGCTAATGATAAACAAAAACACCACCATATCACTCCAGGGACACAAACTGGAGAGATTTGTTATATTTAATATATTGTATTATGGTATATAAGAAAAAATGTATTTGCAAATTTACCTTTCATTGATTTGTTCTGTTATTTTGTTAATATCAATCCCAAGTTTTTTATTGTCTTCCATCAGTTTTGTACATGCCAAAGAAATAGTTGAAAAATCTTTTGCAACATCAGAAAGCTCAATATCCCATGTTTTTTTCTTTAAGAAGAGAATAAAAGAATCATTCATACATGTCTAATTATCAAAAGGCAAAAGGTATAATAATGAAATAACTTTTAGATATATGAGTTAATATTTGGAAATACAGAATGGCATTCTAAGTGGGAAGCAGGAAAAAAATCAACTTACTGCAGCATAAAAATCATTAACTGCTTCCTGATACTGATTTTCCTGACTTTTTTGCTTCCAGATTAGTTGGTCATAAACTCTTCTCAAATCTTCCAGCTAAGAAAGAAGATATACAGAATAAAATGAATTATGTAGCTTTTCATCCTTCCATAAGGTAAAAAATAAATTAATCATGATAAAGTAGAATGTTTCAGTTACATAAAAATTGAAAAAATAGAAAATTCAGAATTATAATTCATCACATCAACAAGTTAAAGGAGAAAATAAGTATGCTAACACTTTGCAAAACAGTCATTTAATAAATTCACTCACTATCTAGTTTTCATATCTTAAAAAAACTAGTACAAGAAAAAATTATTCAAATATAATATAAAGAAACAATAGCAAATACCAAAATAAATTATAAAATACTGAATGTATCCTCATTAGACTCAAGAGTAAGACCATATTATCTCTTTTATCACCATTATTATTAATCACGCTTTGGGAAAGACTAAGTAAACATAATTACATAATAAAATCAAATATTAATATTATAATATTGAAAATGAATAGGTAATATATCTTCAACTTTCAATAACATGATTAAATACCTAGAAAAATAGAAGAATTCTATTTAAAACAACAATAAACAACTTTGGTAAAATGGCTGGGATATAAGGATTAGGAAATGAACAGCTTTTATCTGTAAGAGTAATAATCTGTTTTTAAAATATAGAAGAAATAATTTTAAAGTTTTCTCAAAAATATAAATTATTTGGGAAAAAATTTGACAAAAAGTAGAGGACTTATATAAAGTAAACAAAAACTCTTATTAAATACCCTAAATCAAGTTTTACATGAAAAGGATGATTTATTACAAAAAGGTTTAATAGATTATAATGTGTGTTCTCTCAACATTAGAGTAAAAATATAGCAAAATGGAGTAGTATTTTTTGAACTGCATTAAATTAAGTTCACATGGAAAAAAGGTACCTGAGACTAGCCAACAGTTATCTGAAAAATAAATATTGGAAACTTGCTACCAGATACTGAAACATCCTATAATACGTCTATATTAAGGCAACATTTATTTTCCTCATCATAGTAAAGATCAGAGGGAAACATTAAAGGCCAGAAATAAATCCAAATCAATATTTAAAAAATATGATATCTGAATTCAGTGAGCGAGAAGTTGTTTAATTAATGGTACTGAAATAATACGAAATCTCTGTTTAGAAAAATTCAAAGTGGTCTCTATACCTCACATCAAACTCATATAATAACAAAAGTAAAGTTTCAGAGGAATAAAAATCTAAATGCAAACACAGAACATGTTCAAATTAGAGTAATCAATAAAATTTCATTTGCATAATCTTGGGCTAAAGGAGAGTGTCACCTTAAACTAAGAGATCTGTTGATGGGTTTGACAGCACATTTTATAAAAATGTGTGTCAAAAAAAAAACCACCATAAACAAAATGTAAATTATAAAAGAAGACCATGAAAAAATGTAAAATAAAAAGCCAACATTCCCAGATTATGTCCTTGCAGAGACATCAAGGAAAATAGTGAAGCAGGAGTCTCTGAAAACTCCCTCCTATATAAATGTAATAATAAAAAAAAAAAAAAAAAAAAACAACAACTGGCAAAAAAAAGTCAAATCAGCCTTGTCAGCACTCAAAATTAGCCAAAGGCTTGCAACAATCTAGGGAGCACTGATTTAATAAAAACAGCCTAAGCTTAGTAAGGTGTGCTTTGTGGTGTTTCACCTTCTAGTCCTATCTCTTCAGCTCCACAGAAGCCTCAAAGAATAATTTGTTGTTAAAAGCAGCCTTCTGGCAGCCACCAGAGGGAGCAGAATCAGGCTAGAATGCTTTCAAAGCCTCATTCTCAAAAAAAAAATTGTCTTCATTGGACCTTTCTGGTGGTTTTTATAGAAACCTCCACTTGCAAGGATGTCTGCATTTGATTTGATGCAGAGTTCACCAGCACAAAAACTCTCTCCCAGAAAAGCTTTTTTCCCAGAGCATGGTTGTCCAAAAAAATTACAGGCAATTGATTAACTCTGTGGCCACCTGAGATAGTGGCTAAAAATTGGAACAAACAGTAGATGAACTAACAAACTAAAAAGGGAAAGCTGGTGGAATTACATCCATAGTACTTTGTAAAGCTCCAACATACTCCTGGGAATCTAGAAGGCTGCAAATATCCAGGAATGTGTGAAAGACCAGGGTATTCACATGTTCTGGAAATACCCGAGAAGCCATTTAACCTCTCACCTCCTGCTGATCTTGAGGCTCTATGCAAGCAGGAAGCAACAACAATAACAAAACTAAGGCAGAGTTGGCAACTGCCTGGTTGTTTATTGAAGGTGAACCTAAACAAGCACACAGAACTTCTCTGCAAAAACAGAGAGAATTTTTTTTTCAGATTTTAAGGATTAATATCCAATGATTAACAGACCCTCAGCTCAGAATAGACTTCAGGGGCTGCACATAAGAAAGACAACAGACTTTATCGAATTAAGTTAGCAAGTTCCCTAAACAAAACAACAAAAATTACTACTTCAGCAAACAGCAACAGGGACAAATCCTAAGGAGAAGTGAAAATATGATGTCCAGTATAAATACATTATATTTAAAATGTCCAGTTTTCAACAACTAAAAATGAGACATTCAAAGAATTAAGAAAGTACAGACTATAGAGAATAAAAAATTAGTCAGTAGAAATTGTCTCAGAGGAAAATTAGACATTTATTAATCCAATTGGAAATTATAAATATGTTCAAGGATCTAAAGAACTAAAACAAAGCATTAAAATAATGTTTTAGCAAATAGAAACTATTAATAAAGTGATATAAATTATTTTAAAAATTCAAATATAAATTTGACGGTTGAAAAGTAAAATAACTGAACTAAAAAATTTTTGCTATCTGCACTCAACAGCATATTCAAGTAGGCAGAAGAAAGAATCATCAAACCTGAAGATGAGTCAACTGAGATTATCTAGACTGAAGAACAGAAAGAAAAAATAATGAAAAATGAACAGAGTTTCATAGTTGTGTGACATTCCATGAAGTATACCAATATATATACAAAAGTAAAAGTAGTCAAAAGAGAAAAGGGGGGGGAGGCAAAAAGTATATTCAAATAAATAATGGCTGAAAACTTCCAAAATTTGGTTTAAAAAACATTAATTTATACATTGAGGAAGCCCAAGAAATTCCAGTAGTAAAAACTCAAAGATATATACTTGAGATACATCACAATCAAACTGCCAAAGTCAAAGACAGAGAGAGAATCCTGGAAGCAACAAGAGAGAAGTGACACTTCACATGTCAAGGATCTTCAATACGATTAACAGATAATTTTTCACTCAAAACAATGGGAAACAGAAAGTATATACTAGCATATACAACATACAGAAATAAAAGAAAAGTACCAAGAATACTATATCAAGCAAAACTATAACTTGAAAACATAGAGATATTAGGACATTCCCAGATAATCAAATATTGGGATAAACCTGTTCTATAAGAAACACTCAAGGGAATCCTTCAAATTGAGATGAAAGAATGCTAGACAGTAACTTGAATCCACAAGAAGAAATAAAGACAACCAGTAATCATAACTGTATAGGTAAATATTAAAAATGTATAAATGTATTATTTTGTAACCATTTTTCATTGCCTAAATTGAAAGGCAATTGCATAAAGCACTAATTGTAAATTTCTGTTGATAGTCACACAATGTATAAAGATATAATTTATACAATATCAAGACAAATAAAGGAAGAAAGAAAGCTATAAAGGAGGAAGAAATGTGTATACTAATGAAATTGCTAGTATTAATCCAAAATAATTTTTTGTAAATTAAATTGTGAATTCCACTCCCAGGGCAATTGCTAGGAAAATAGTATAAAAATTTATAGTCAAATCAATTACAAAGTAATTAAAGTATTATATAAAAGAAGGCAGTAATGAAGGAATAGAGAAAATATAAAGACATAAGACACAGAGAAAATAAGTAGCAGAATGGCAAATACAAATCCTACCTTATCAGTAAGTACATTAAATGTAAATAAATTAAACCCTCTAATTAAAGTATAGAGATTGACAGAATGAATTTGAAAGAAATGGTCCTATCATATACTGTTCACAAAAGACACATGGGAGATCACAGACACAAATATGTTAAAAGTAAAGGCTGGAAAAAGAAATTCCATGCAAACAGCAACCATGTTAGAGCTGAAGTGGCTAGATTAATATCAGACAAAATAGACTTTAGAATAAAAATTGCTAGAACAAACAAAGAATGATATTTTATAATAACAGAAGGGTCAATTAATCAAGACATAACAATCACGAATATCAATCCACCCAACAACAAAGCTTCAAGATACATCAAACAAAAACTGACAGAACTAAACAGAGAAATAGAAAATTTAACAAAAATAGAGACTGCATACTGCATGTCTGAAGTCATGCAAAGTGCTTTCTCCAGCCATATTAGAATGAAATTATAAATCAACAACAGAAAGAAATAACAGAAGGAAATTCAAAACATATGAACATTAAACAATATGTTCCTTGATAACCAGCAAGTATAAGAAGAAATCTCAAGAATGATTAGAAAATATTTTGAGATGAAAGAGAATGAATGTACAACACATTGAAACTTATTGGATGAAGTTAGAGCAGTGCTTTAAAGGAAATTTCTAGCTTTAAGTGCCCACATTAAAGAAGAAGTTCTTATGTCAGTAACCTAACTTGACATCTAAGAGAATTAGAAAAAGAGCTAACTAAACCCAAAGCAAGTAAAAGAATGAAAATCAATTTAAAAAAAACTGCAGTGGGAAAAATATGAATTCTAATACACGCAAAAAATTGAGAGAATCAACAAAACCAAAAGTTTGTTATTTGGAAAGGTCAAGAAATTTGATAAAATACTATATACACTGACCAAGAAAAAAGATAGAAGATTCAAATTATTAAAATCAGAAATTCAAGAGAGAGTATTGCTATGAACCTTCAAAAAGTGATTATAAGAGAATACTATAAAACATGTTATGCCAACAAATTAGATAAACAACGTGAAATGAATAAATTTCTAAAAA